AATTCCATATATTTCTCTAAATGTTTTTCTTTTGATGGAAATTCAACCCTTTTCAAGGGTAAGTTTTATGAGCCTCTATACTTACCTAGTGGCCTTTTCAGGTCTGAGTGGCATTGTCTGTAGGTGCCATCACCACATTTCTGCAGCAATGCAAATGTTGATGTGAGTACTGGGAGGGTGTCACATGAGCCGCTTCAGGGACAGGCCTCTGTGGACAGGCAGTCTTTGAGGAAAAAATAAAATAATAAATAACACAAGAATAAGCTCTGTTTCACAACTGTAACCCTACTTTTGCCCACCGTATGTGTCTCCTGGTTTCTCTTCAGTTTTCCAAATACAACAGATTTTCCTGGAGAGCCTGGGATATGCCAAGTATTTCGTGGCAGCGGCTAATTAGGTGAACATGACTCACGGAGCTGTAAGTTTTGAGAGGCCATTCAAAAGGCAAAACTTTGGAAAGGTAAAATTATAGCTCAAGATGTGTAAGTAGCAAGTGATCCTAAGAAAGTCGGCAGCATCCTGCCAAGTAAAACATAGAGGCCGCTGTTCCTTTCTGTTTTCAGAGAGGAGGCCTTTCACCCTTTTTTTTTTTGCNACTTTCACCCTTTTTTTTTTTTTGCAGTTCACAAAGTTAGTGGGATCTTATTTGTATAGAATANCCTTTCACCCTTTTTTTTTTTGCAGTTCACAAAGTTAGTGGGATCTTATTTGTATAGAATATTTTAGATTTTCAATGAGCTTTTACGATCATTAGGTTTCCTAACAGTTGCATGACACAGGAGGGTGGGTGTTTCCTTTCCCTCTGAGAGGAGAGTGAAGCCCCAGGAACTTGGGGGTTTGTTTAAGGCTCCGGAACTACACCCCTGAGCCCTCCAGAATGGCGCTCAGAGTTTAACCTGCATACGACTCACCTGGGCATCCTGTGAAGATGAAAGTTTTGATTCAGTGGCCGTGTGTGGGGCCTGAGATTCTGTGTTCCTAATAGGCTTCCAGGTCACTGCTGGTCCTCTGGCCCCACTCTGAGTGATGGGTTACTCCCTTCTGACCTTTGACACAGGCTGGTGTTAAACTGCACTGGCCCACTTTCCCTGTGCCCACCTGTCAGTGCAGATGGACTTCTTGTAATGTTTAGCAAAAGAAAGGGATCTCACCGTAAAAAGCATCCTGATTGCTGTTCTCAATCAAGCAGAAATGACTTCAGGGCTCTGGGGTGGTTTTCATTCTTGGGGCACCTTCCTTCTTCATGTAATCCACCTGTAACTAACAGGCAGGGTGTGCAGGGGTAACCAAAGCTGGAGGTAGGCAGAAACGTGTTTGGATGCTCCCAGCATTTATCTTTATGATTTAGGTTTTGTCGGAAATTATAATCTATCTCAATCCCAGATGAATTTGAGCCTTGGAATCTGGTCAAAAGGCACCCCTGGGTGCCGGAACCTAAGCACTCTGCCCAAGCTCTGCGTGTCTGCGTGGACGGCATTTTCCCACACAAGCCCTGGGAATCTCCTTTGCATGACGTATGAAATCTGGTTTGGTCATCCCACCACATCCGAAATGCTAGTCAATATGGTGTGGCCTTACTGTATGTAGAAAATTTGTTTCTGAGGAGAGAGGGAGCTATGCCTTCCAGAGACTGGATCTGCTTTCGGGGATCCAGAGCCACTCTGGCTTTGTGGTCCGGTGTGGAGAAGGGTGCTCCATGTGGCACTCTTGCCCCTCCTGTGCTCTGGGATGACAGGACAGAGGCCAGCTGACAGCCCACGGGCCCCTGTTCTAAGCAGCAAGCATGGGTGTTCGACTCTTTCCTTCTAACCGGACAGACTGGTATGATGAGGTGTCAGCTTTCTTTATAGAACACTTTTTGGTTTCCTCAATGACACTTATTATGAACGGTTCTCAAATATTACTGAAGGACAAATACCTCTGTTGATGTATTTCCAAATATCAAACCTATCCTGGGAGAGTTTGCTTCAAGGGCAGACTGAATTCTGGTGCTGCGCCCAGCCGTTAAGCAGGGATTGCCAGGACTGGAAGAAGTTAACTGTTATATCAGCAATAGATGATTTTACAAAACATGCTCTTACTCTAAGATTCTGATACGACAGGGTCCTCACTTGATCACTCAGCTGAGATGGTGAGCTCCTCTTTGTGTGTAAAGTTTCATACTAGCCCTGGGGGTGGTGAGAGTATA